ATCTGAAGCAAACAACATGACACGCAAGTAACCATACGGACAACTCGGCAGAATATAACTGATGTGTTGTAGCTTTTAAATGCGACAAGGACTAACCCCCCAAGATAAAACATGCAATATACGGCTAAACTCGGCGTTCCCTATACCATATACATCAAGCACAATATCAAGAGGTCGTATTCGCCTACATGCATGCGCATTCATTACTATGAAAGACGAAAGACGTCTCCTTTGTGGCTGTTTGTATTACAAAAATAAAGGCAGATTCTGAAGGCACAGCTAGAGGCACTGTAGGGTTTCACACTTAGCACGAAGAAAGAAAGAAAGAAAGAAAGAAAGAAAAAAGGAAGAAAGAAAGAAAGAAAGAAAGAAAATATGCGTACTTCCCCCTTTTCGTGGCCGTTATTCCACCGGTAATGGAGAGTCCCGTGAATCATTATACGGATGTAGACCGACGAATAAATCTCAAGAGAACTGTATGCGCTCGCACACTTCTCTGAGATGGGCTGCCCTTGTGCTTATATGCGCTAGCTTCGATTCAAGCTCGCACATTTTTCCTAGACTCTGCATCCACTTTCATGCTGCTGTCGACTTAGCAAGTCATTCAAGACGACAGGAAAATCGATGAAAGCACGCCACCAAAGTAGTGATGTGCATGAACTAAGAAAAAAAGAAGGCATGGACTGATTGACGTTTTCCGCAGCATGAAGCACGTGATCATAAATTAAGGAACATCACTTTTTCGTAACATTGTTCCTTCTACCTAGGTGTTTTTTCTGCGGCGAGTTGTCCCCTCTCCGTCATCCTGTTTTCACCGTCTAACAATTTCCATACTTCTGGTTAACCTGGTCTAACACTCTCCACATGCCATTCAATTCAATTCTTCCACATGAACACCAGTGAGAGCATTGCCTAAACATTCGTGCATAGCCTGTGCACAGCGAGAATGGTGCTGCCTCCCGACGCACAAAAAGAGTACTTTTGCACACTTCTCTCGTTACTCGAATAAGAACTCGAAAAAAAAGGAAGTTAGTTTTCACACGGAAATACCAGAGTCTTGAACTACGAACTTTGTGGCTAGTAGAAACTCAGTTTTATCGTGTTGTCAGACCCACTTCTCTTTCCTCAACTGTCGTAAAAGCATGCACCCTGCTCTTCCATTACTCACGTGGGCATTGATGCGTAGACGGCGAGTACATCAGAGTGCTTTTTCTCCTGGGATACTTATTGCGCACTCCCATGCTCGTGAAGAATGGGTTCCAGAATATTGCCACCTCAACCACCACATTGCCTATTTCATTCTGTAATACTGTAGTTAGTGCCTCTCTAAATGTTTTGCTCATGGTTCAGATATTGTTCCAGCCTGATTTTTGAAATTCTGTTGCAGCCTTATGTTTGAAATTTTGTTTCCTTAGAGCCTGATGCTTCATTTTGCATTCATATGCGCATGTTCCCTGAGGAGTGGCACGTGTTTGATTGCTTCACAACCTTTTACAAGGTGCTGAGGAGTGGCTCTTTGGAAATAGATTTATCATGTAAATGAAGTAATATAGCACACAATTAAGCCATTTTGCCATTTGTGCATTTGTAAAATGGCCGGTATTTTTTTACTTTTTCCTGTGGCTATCGTTTTCGTTTTGGTATCTTATACAATAATGCTTGCTACCATTCAGAGCCATAAGTATTGCGACGAGAAAAAAAATGAGATATATATGCCAGAAATTTCAAACTTCAGATACTTTCAATTCGTCAGTTCGTTTGTAGAAGTCATTATTAGTGTAGAAGTTCGGCGAGTTGGTACGAGTTCATTTTGGTCGAACTCCACGTTCGGACGAAACACAAAGATAAAGGTGAAGACAAAGAAGCTCAGACAATACTGGGAGAAAACCAGCCACCCGTTCATTACTATTGCTGAAAAAGAGTATTTATTTGTTTTGATTTACAGCATTACTGTAGGCCAAAGGGCCTCTGCAGGAGTGGGAGTAAAAAAGCATCAAAACATTACACAAAAAAGGTATGATTTGATATCTGGGGTTTAACATCCCAAAACCACCATATTATTATGAGAGACGCCGTAATAGAGGGCTCCGAAAATTTCAACCACCTGGGGCTCTTTAACGTGCAGCCAAATCTGAGCACACGGGCCTACAACATTTCCGCCTCCATCGGAAATGCAGCCGCCGCAGCAGGGATTTGATCCCGCGACCTGCGGGTAAGCAGCCGAGTACCTTAGCCACAAGACCACCGCGGCGAGGCGGCACTAATAAGGTAGATAACAAGAATTATTACTAAAAAACTCTGAAAAAAAATATTTGATAGAGGTGGCTGAACGGCAATATAATAAATGAGTGTGAATACATTAACAATTTGAGAAATCATCAAATGAATAAAATAGAACCAGTTCCTATTAACATTGAAAAATATATTGTTTTGATTTCATTGATATATGAGGTTTAACATCCCAAAACCACCATGTTCTAGTAAGGCGGTAAGTTGGGCTAGTTGGTTAAGATCTATTGTGAACCTATTTACAGCACAACACCAGCAATTGTTCTGGTGTTGCGCTGTAAATAAGTTCACGATGAATCCACCATATTATTATGAGAGACGCCGTAGTGGAGGGCTCCGGAAAGTTTGACCACCTGGGGTTCTTTAACATGCTCTCAAATCTGAGCACACGGGCCTGCAGCATTTCCGCCTTCATCGGAAATGCAGCTGCCGCCGCCGGGATTCAAACCCACGACCTGTGGGTCAGCAGCCGAGTACCTTAGACCCTAGACTACCACAGTTGGGCAGATAATAGATTGTTAATAAGGAGTGCCTCCTCCTAGATTGTAGTCTAGGAGGAGGCACTCGACTGTGCTACGCACAATGGTTGGTCAGAAGGCAAATAATTCCAACCAACAATCGTTTGCAGGAAGTATGAGAGTTTAAATAGATTTGTTCTGGCAAAATAAGAAGTTATAGAAGGCGCATGAGTGTGACGAGTGCGCCGTGATGAAATTGGAGATAGGTATGGTGCTGGGTCAAGGTCGAAATAATATAAAAACTCAAAGTGTTAATCCTTCACCGGCAATGCAATAGAAAAAACTGTTGATGTTCCATAAATTAAGAAACTAAATATTGGGGGCCATATAAAAATAACCACACAGCTTCTCGCTAAAATTTTTGAAGCGCGTTTATATTCACGTTTAAGGTCTCATACTGTAGGAGTGTATTCAAACTCAGGCTTATCATTTGTTCATAATGCAGGTGTTTAACAAGTAGTACTGAATTGTTGAACTTGGGTTCTATAAAGCAAAGATGCATATCTCTGCTTCATGTGCACGTAACCGTCTAATTCTCAGTGGTTGTTTTATGTGCGTACAATCGTTGTCATGAGCATCATGTTTTTTATGTCCATGTCCTTTTATGTCCATGTCCTTACCTTGCTCATTTTTATGGATACAGTGGTTCCCTGTTAGCCCTTAAGGGGACGTGTCACATGGAGTAACACTGTTAGAAAAGTCAGGTTTAATGCTTCAATAAACCCAGTTGCTAGTCTGTGTTTTTCTGTCTTGCCTTTCTTTTCGTTTCGTAGCACGCGCAGTTGGTCGAGAAAGTTATATAATAATAATAATAATAATAATAATGTTTATTTGTCATCAATAGTTTGATGAAGGACAGCTGCAGGTAAAAGCTGCTCTCCAAGAGGCAGCTTAACAAAGGCCCATAGCCACCTTTCAGCATGAAAGCAGTGGCAAACAATCAGCAATGTGAAGTCAGCACCAATAACAACACCACCACCAAATATATCAATAAATAAAAAAATAAAGAAAGATATAAAAATCAAGCCCTAACACAAAAAGAAAACTAGCAACCTTGATAATACAGCAACTGCAAAGTTATTTTAAAAACTAAACATGTGTATATCGCGCAATGGAATATGTGTACAGTGTAAAAAATCTATGCCAGCTTTCACATATTTATTAATTAACGTTGGAACAATGTAGGATAACTTATCTGTGGAGTAGTTTGTTCTCGAAGTTTTTATTTTCCATGTTTCTTTATTTGGTGTTTCAAACAATGTAATATTTGGCTGCAGTTTTGAGAGGTGATACAAAAAATGTCGAGAGAGATGGTTTAGACTCCAACCAAAAGTTTTGAAGAAACGCGACGTTTCGGAACCGACTTGGTTCCCTCCTCAGGGGTAACTGCGGAGTCTACGTAGCAGCGTCCTCTTCACAGCACTCGCGGGATGGCTCAAGACCCCCCTCTCTCTCCTTTTCTCTCTCTCGTTTTGCCGTGGAGCGCAGTTCGTGTGAATACACTGGGGGAAGGGTTCCGAGGAAGCGGTTGATATTATGGGCTGTCCTCTATGTGTACCACGACTCGAGTAACAACTTTCTCCTCCAGTTCGGCTTGCTTTCAAGGATGGCCGTCGCTTCAAAAAAATTTTTGTGAACCAACGTCTCAGCATGTTCGGCGACTGCGCTGCGCTCTTTGTAGAACTTTCGCACATCGTTGGCGTGTTGCTTTATAAGGTAAACTTTACCTGCGACTAATCTGCCGTAACAGATTCGCACCGAGTTTTTATGGACTACCGAAAATTCCCAAGCCTGACGTCCCCGTCCGACCGATTGTAGACTTCACTTCTTCCCCATGCCGAGCCCTTCCAAATATTCTACACCAAATCTTCGCCCCACTAACCCGGAAGACACCAACTCATGTCCATGACGCCAGCCACTTCGTGCAGCTAGCGTCAAATGTGATCATCGGCGATGACGAGAGCATGGTCTTATTTGACATCATTTCATTGTTCACCACCGTGCATGTTTTCTTAGCTGTCTCCGCTGCCCGTGCTGCACTTGAATGCAAGCCTGGCTGAAATGACTCCCTTGGCGGTTGACGAGCTCTGTCGTGTACTGGAGTTCTGCCTCTCCAGTATGTATTTCTCCTACACAGGAACTATTTTCAGGCAGAACAGTGGTACTGCGATGGGAGCTTCAATCTCCGTCACGATGACAAACCTGACCATGGAGTACATAGAAGAGAAAGCAATCAGCTCCTTCTCGCCGCGACCCAGGCTTTTTCTGCGTTATATAGACGATTGCTTTTGCGTCATTAAGACAGCTGAAGTTGAAAACATCGGACAACACCTAAATTCTGTGAATCCAGCCATACAATTGACGACCGAGTGTGAAAGCGACCACTGCCCGCCCTTTTTCGACGTCCAGGTGGCAAGAAAGCGTGACGGCCTGGAGTTCTTCATTCATAGGAAGCCAATGCACACTGGCCACTACCTTCAATTCGATTCTTCCCACCCCGGCGGCCACAAGGCCGTGGTTGTGACCACGCTATTTGAGAGTGCTAGGAACTTGTGCTCTAATGACCCCGAGCGAAAGAAAGAGGAGGCCGCGTAATTGCTGACCTCAGAAATACGGATACCCAACAAACTTCATTCGACACACCACCCACCGCGCAGAGCAACAGAGGATACGAAAACACCAATCAACCTCAATTGGAAGCCCCCCCCCCCCCCGAAACGCGTGCCGGTTCCATACGTTCAGGGAACCGGCGAGATATTAGCGCGGATCTTCAGGAAGGAAGGGGTTCGCATCGCGCACGTATCTTCGTGTACGCTGGGCCGCCTCCTCCCCCGCCCGAAAGACAATGGACAGGCGCCCCGGTGTCGTTTACAAAATTCCGTGTGCCGAGTGCGCCTCGTCGTATATCGGCGAGACGAAAAACTTACCGGAACGACTCAAGCAACACGCCAACGATGTGCGGAAGTTCTACAAAGAGCGCAGCGCAGTCGCCGAACATGCTGAGACGTTGGATCACAAAATAGATTTTGAAGCGACGGTCATCATTGAAAGCGAGTCGAACTGGAGGAGAAGGTTGTTACTCGAGTCGCGGCACATACAGAGGACAGCCCATAATAACAACCGCTCTCTCGAAACCCTTTCCCCAGTGTATTCCCACGGACTGCGCTCCACGGCAAAACGAGACAGAGAGAGAGAGACAGGAGTCCTGAGCTACCCCGCGAGTGCTTTGAAGACGACGCTGCTACGTAGCCTCCGCAGTCACCCCTGAGAAAGGAACCAAGTCGGTTCCGAAACGTCGGGTTTCCTCAAAACTTTTGGTTAGAGTCTAAATCATCTCCCAGTTTCATACCCAACCAGACAGACTTCTGTCGAACGTTTACTTGAAAAAAAATGTCGACTTTCTTTGAATTCACGCCTGAATTCCAATGCTGACTTAAAATTGTAGAGACGTTTTACGGGTAGTATTCCAGCCTGTTGAAACAATTTGCATGTGTCAGCATCATACGGCAAGTTAAAAATGATTTTAATATACTTCTTTTGCATCAGGTACAGTTTTTGCAAGTTCGTGTAAGTTGTCGTCCCCCATACCAATAAACAATATGTAAGATGTGAATAGAAAAGTGAATTATAAAGTAAAAGTTTTACCTTGTATGGTAAAACAGTTTTGCCACTGTATACCATACCCACTACGCGAGATAACTGACCCACCACGCTGTCAATGTGTTCGCTCCAAAGTATATTGCTCGAAAATGTAACTCCAAGAATTTGAACACTATTGACTTGCTATATATCAGTATCTCTATGCTTGAGATGTATGTTTTCATTAACGGGCTTATTTATGGATTGGAAAAATACCACCTTTGTTTTACTAGTGTTTATGTTTAAATTATTACAGCATGACCAGAGCTATAGTTTCACAAGAAACTGGTTCATTTTTTCTTCGAGAGCGATACTATTTTCAGCTGAAACAAACACGCTGACATCATCGACATATAGACGTATTTAGCATCTGAATAAATACATGTTAAATCATTTATATAGGCTATAAAAAAAAAGGGTCCAAGGATACTTCCCTGGAGTACACCCTTAGTAATAGGCTTCAGCTCTGAGACTTTTCTATTTATTTCAACCGCCTGTTTGCGATATTTGAGGTAACTTTTTATTAAGTCTAGTTCATTACCGAGAATTCCATAGCACTGCAACTTTTCAAACAACGTGGAATGCTGAATGTTGTCGACACTAAAATCAACAAACATACCGAGAACAGCACTTGTGTTTTCAAATTCAGATCATATTGTCACAACGTGCAAAGAACAGGACACAAGGCTTCCTTTCTACGATAAAAGCAAGGCTCTATTCACATACAAAAACAAAGCGCAAGAGCAGACGCGCAACGTCGTCTTCTCCAAAAAACGCCAGAGACTGCCGCTCGTGATGCTGGCTTCTTCGTCTTTTTGTGTTTACGGCTAATAACCATGACAATATGAACTCTTTGTGTTCTAATGTTGCCATTTCCGTAGATCGATGTTTCCTGAAACCAAACTCAGTTGGGGAAATCACGTTGTGTTTTTCTAAGAATTGGTACAGTTGACGGTGCATAAGCTTTTCTAACCCTTTCAAAAACACCGGAAGAATAGCTATGGGTCTGTAGTTCAGAATATCATTTTTGTCACCTTTTTAAACAAAACACTTACTTTTGCTGTCTGCATTCTATCGAGAAACGTTGCACTTGGAAAACAAAGATTAAATATGTGAGTGATATAAAGAACAAGAATATCTAGCGCATAGTTATTGGGTCTAATCTGCATACCATGAACATCACAAGATGAAGTATTTCTAAGTTTCGAGAAAACGGAATAAACATCTTCGTCCACTACAGGCTAAAAAAATATGGAGGATGAATTTGGATCTGGTAGAAATTGAATAAAATTACTAGACATTTCATTATGCGTATTATTGACTAAGTGGTCATTGAATATATTTGGAAGTTCAGCTCCTGATACGCTGCACCCATTTATAGTCAGATTCCCCACACTTGCCCGTGTTGTACCACGGTTCAAAATATAAGTTCAGCTTCGTCCAAATGGCGTGAGTCTTATCTGCGCAGGTTTTATTTCGGTATATATGTAGTGCAATCTGCGCTTACTGATTTCCTTACTTAATCTATTTCTGTATACTTTATATTCTTTTTAAATGTCAGAATTTTTATTCACAAGAAATATTTGTGATAAAGTTCATTTTTATGTTTAATTTTGTTGTGCGATTGAGTCTGGGGTCATCCGTGGCTTACAGGTTCTCTTGTTCAAACGAACTTGTTTTTCGGGAAAGTGACGTTTATAAATGTCCAAAATTTTTTCTAAAAATATATTGTAGGCTTGGTTTGCCTTTTTCATCGAAAGGATCTCAGTAAGGTACTACCAAGCAGTTCCTTCCTAAAAGCTGTTAGGCTAAATTCAGAGATATCTTGATTGGCTACCATCCGCTTCTTACGCTCTTGTAAGGTGCATCTTTTATTAAAGAGGATGATAGGAAGATGGTCGCTAATATGCTCAGACATAACTCCTGCAAAAATGTTATTATCGTTGGCACTTGTAATAAACATATCTAGTAAAGTTGCAGTCTTTTCTGTAATCCTGGTCGGTGAACTTATGGCATTTTTAAAGCCGTTTCATGCAATATTTGCATTCATAGTTTGATGTGGTGTAGAGTTGCATAACATATCAATGTTAATGCCCCCTCCCGATACTGAAAAACATGCATTATCTAACGAAAAACGTAAAAGCGTCTCATAGAAACAAAAGAAGCGGTTTCTGTCTGGTGGCCTATAACACACAGAAAAAAGATATTTACCGCATCGAACTGCAAGCATTTCAAAATAATCACACATAACACACAATTCAGAAAGAAATTCACATTGCGTGCCTTCCTTCAACAGTAACACGACACCACCCCCACGACGTGCTGGATGATATAAAGGTTTAACCTCCAAACACCACGATTTGATTATGAGAGATGCTGTAGTGGAGGGCTCCGGAAATTTCGACCAAGTAGGGTTCTTTATTATGCACCTAAATTTATAAGTACACGGGCTTCAAACATTTCCACCTCCATCTAAAATGCAGCCGCTGCTGCCGAGATTACATCCTGCGACCTTCGGTTTAGCAGTCAAGCGTCATAACCACTACACCCCCATGGCGGATAAGAGGAAAGTTATCGAGCATTTTACTGCATATTTGCTAAATGTATCGATACAGAGCTGGGCCAGATGACCATAATAAATAATAAATTTTGATAGTTTTGTGACTAAGAACTCACTCGTCTGCTGTACTTGCCAGCATAAGTTCGAATACAGACGTACACATTCGTCCTTTATGACACAGAACTTGCAAGCGCGTGGCCTTCACTCTGCGGCACCTGCCAACAGCACCATTCACCCATAGCTAAATAAATTAAGCCCCCCCCCTTTCATGTCATTCATTAGAAAATAAAATGCCGACGTATAGCCAGCAGACAAGCGCTACTAGATTGCGCTACTGCTTTCGTCAGGACAGCGGGCGATGCCGCCAAAAGCAGAGATGCCTTCTTCCACTCTCGGTTGATCGTGCTGTGCTCAGCCGCCGAAGAGTGAGGGCTGCTTCGCTCGGCTGTTTCCTTTCATTAATGTCGACTGTGCAAATGTGCGTCATATGTACTCAAACGTTATTTGCGTGCGTATGAGCATATTTAGTGTACAGAAACAGTGAAAGAATCAGAAATGACTCACCAGTTGTGCCTAATTCGATAGCAGTACTACAGTAGCGAGCATTTAAACGAGCACTATTTTTTTATGCATCACAGAATAAGCAACACATGGCCGCCTCAGGAACGGTCATTGGCGTCATTTTCAATTTTATTCATGGGACGACCAGAATTATTCAGAGCGTGCCCCCGGCATTGGTACATGGGAACAAGCAAGCAAAATTTCATAAAGTACGTTCACCCTCTTTGCTGCCTCTCAGGGGAAGAACTTTGCAAAGAAAGTGTCACAAAAGAAAAAGAGAAACAGGAAAAGGGCGTGAAGTGAACCAATGAAATGTGTCACCTTCGTTCCCTCGCTTAGCCCTGGGTGATGGCGTGGCGTTATGGATGGTTGTTGCCGGTTAGCAACACGTGTTAGCAACGTGTCTAGCAGCAGGTGAGACAGCTGTCACCATGACATTTTCTTCTTCACGGTTACGTAACAAAAGAACTTTCTAACTGCATTTGCCTGTCATCTCTCGCTTCAATGACAATAACTTGTCGTCGCGGCCTGTTGGTTGCGTACGCCTTTTCGACATCTTATGCAAATCTGAAGCTCTCTCGCCAAAAAAAAAAAGAAAAGGACAGGTTCCAGCGAGGAAAAAAGAAAGCAATGCAGCTGCGATGCGTCAAACGAGTGTTGTACTGTTTGCGTAACCCTCCATTGTGACGTTGCCAGTTTTCATATATGTGTAGTCATTTACGTGAAGCAAACAAGACTTCATTCTCTCACCCCGCTGCAGTTGGCGATTCATAAAACAAAAAAAACAACAACTATCAGTGACGCCCTCTATGCCATAGTGGCCAAACAAACTGAT